GGAATCCAGTCTAAGAGAGCTAGTTCTGTCCAGGGACTTGATGCAATGTCTACACCAGTTAGGTTACGAGAAGCAGCGGCAGGGCTTCCAGATGCACGAAGCGTGAACCCAGTTAGTTCTTTACCTGGACAGGATGAAGTCAAATTAATGGTTCTACTAGGATCTTGCATGTGAGTTTCGAAGACGCAGCATACATTGATAGCACAAGATTCTAGAGTCTCATCTAAAGAGGCCTGTCGTTCTATTCGGCACAAAGTCCGGACATGAAATGTTCTAACATGTAATTTACAGCGTGATTTCAGGAGACCAGGAATAACGTTTCGTGTACTCGAATCGTTCGCATCAGCGGCGCGAGCTGATAAAGGAAGGGTTAGTTATAAAGGTATGAGAGTTATTAAGAGATGTAGGAAGAATCCGACTGTGAGCAAGTTGGTCTTGTGTGCGGTTGCGGGTATGCGGTTGGATGTCACTTCATGGCTGCCCACACCCTGGAAGGGTATTTCTTGAGGAGCATGAAAAGGAAATCGGATAAGCGCTGGTCTTACAGACCTGGTAGCATGACTGCAGAGCCAAAGGAAAAACCGCTCGAGGCCGGTCACGCACGGCCTTTTTATGGAAAGTGTTAAAAGTGTTAGCTCCGTTCTTCAGATGGCCTTACCGCTGGAGACGGAAATCCGTGAGGTGAAGTGAGGGGCGATATTTTAAGGGTCGACCTTTTTTAACCCGTTCTTTCCTTGTTAGAAGGCAGCATCGATGCAATGCTGGTTGTTTGAGAGAAACACATTAATGCTATCCCACTCCTCTACAGTCAGCAGTTCGACTTCACTCCCAGACCTTAATTTGCTGCTTTTAGTTTTTGCGTTCTCCAATCGTCTTGTCTGGCATGGTAGGAGCTAAAAGAACAGTCCCAGTCAGTATAGTCCGGTCGGGTCATCTTGATAGGCAAGCTCGACCAATATATCGAGATAGCATCTACGGTACAGACCACAGACAGACAGATACAACACAGAACTTCGTACGTAAGTACATCAGTTCAGGTTGCCACATCACATCAGCACAGAGATGCAACTGTAGGTTCAACAGTGACAGCAATTATAGAAGTATTAGCAGTAATGGGGAAGATTAGAGAGCGAAGATTTGATTGGAGAAGTATAATTCAGTAAGATAAATTTAGAAGGAGAAAGGTAGAGATTATGAGGAATGAAGAAGCTTAGAATTTCATAGAACACAAAGAGTGGATGCACCTGCGCCATTACGAACGATTCTGAGCCATGTCGCACAAGGTCTCTAACCACCGGTGACTATCGTCTCGCGGACCCCAACCAGGTAGCTTACATCTACCAACATGACTCAGTCCACTTGTCAGTGACTTCATGGATTTCTGCCATGTTTCGGTTTCGCCGCCCCTAGCTTTCTTCCAATCTACTCCTACACCACAAAACATAGCTCGTCAAGGCAGTCGGTGGTCGGGCATATGTAACACATGTCCCAACTACCTCAACTGATGAAGTTTCATTACTTCATCTATTGATTTGCCGTTCCTACCTAGAACTCGTTTCCTAAGGACAGCATTGCTTATACCGTTGTCCCACGATACACGAGCAATGCTTCTTAAACATCTATGATCGAAGACTAGTAATCTGCTGCACGGTACACTCGTGCTTTGGTTAGCGAACGGATATCTCGCCTGCGCCATAAGTGACGCAGGTTGGTAAAAGCCGATCGAGCCTTCTGTATCCGAGCTGAGATTTCGTCAGTCACCAGGCCATCAGCACTGATGAGACTCCCCAGATAAGTGAAGCGGTCTACACGTTCGACTACTTCGCTCCCTAAAACTAGTTCAGGTGCCAATGCAAGCCGATTTTGAAGCAACATTTTGCGTTTCGAGGGTGAGAACCGCAGCCCGAACATGTTTGCATTGTTGCTTAGGGTAGTCTCACTTACACTAGGATTCCTAATACAAGTTTCCTTGATAAGTCGGAAAAGTTGTCCACTGTTGACGATCGCCGCTGCCTTTTCCATCGCTTTTGCTTTCGCCACCCACCACTGTTCGCGATCGTTACGTAGGCTTTTTATAAGTCTGCGCCTAAGTTGACTTCGTTCTTCATCATGTTCAGAGCCAGGTGGGATGAGTTTTCGGGCATCCATCAGATCGGTGGATGCTATTGAGATCCACGGTTTCATTCTAGCCTTATGGTCAACCTTACTAGCAGATATCACTGCTGTTTCCACAGCCTTCTAGATATCTTTCCGACCTGCCCCCGGATGGTAATCGCCTAAATGGTCGCCTAACTGTCTTTCTAGTTGCTCCTGAAATATATTCTTCGCCTTATTATCATTAAGTAAAACCCTAAGAGGCATCCTTACGGTGTCTTTCCTACGTCCAGTAAGCCTTAAACAAATACGAGCTCGCACTAGGGCATGATCTGAATCTAAACATGTGCCCCAGAACGAGCGACAGTCCTCTATCGAACCGCTCCATCGGTGGCTGATGGCAATGTGATCTAGTTGGGTCGTTTGAATTAGCTGTGCAGTTTGATAAAGGAATGTGAGAAGAGTTAGTCGTGGAGATAAGAGAGATATTTGGGGGTGTAGGAAGGATTTGATTTTGACCAATTTGGTCCCGTGTGGTGGTACGGGTATGAGGGCGGTTGTCACTTCCCGGCTGCCCACACCGTGGAAGGTTGTTTCTTGAGGGACCTGAAAAGGAAGATAGATTAGTGTTGGTCTTGGAGACCTGGGAGCGTGACCGCAGAGCCCAAGGGACAACTGCTTGAGGCCGGTCACGCACGGCCTTTTCATGAGAAGTTTTTTGAGTGTTAGCTCCGCACTTGAAAGCCCTTAGTGGGCACCCTTACCCAAGGAGACGGAAATGTGTGAGGTAGGGTGAGGTGTGACATTTTAAGGGTCGACCTTTTCTAACCCTTCCTTCCTTGTGAGAAGGCAACACCGCTGCAGATGCTCGTTACCCGAGGGAAACACCTTACTGCTGTCACACCCCTCTGCAGTCAGCAGTACGACTTCGCCCTCAGACCTTGGGTAGCTGCTTTTAGTCTCATCGTTCTCCAATCGACCTGCCTGGCATGGTAGAACCTTCATGAACATATGTTCCAGCCAATATAGCTCGGTTGGGTCATCACGATTGGCAAACCCGACGATCACATTAAAGGTAGCAGCTACGTTCGGTGTGTACAGATGTTAGATGATTAGAATTGATCATCAGGGAACTCGTAGGGGGAGTACCGATAAAATCAAGATCATGGATACACTATGTTGATGAGTGCCAACTATAATCAACCTTAGATTTCATGATAACTTCCTCCAATCACTTAACAAAATGACAACCATAATAAATGGGATATTTACTAGCGTATAAAAAGTGCTTGTAGTGACAAAAACAATGAAATTCGAGTTTTTAAAAACAATCTATTCAATTTAACTAATGCCAATACTGAGTAAAAATTAATATAATTGCGAAAAAGAAACAAACTCTAAGCAAAAGTTGTTTTGCTGGTTCATTGACTGTTCCAGCTAAACGACAATGACTAATTGCATTAACTACAACAGTTCGATTGGATTTAGCTTTAAGTTTCACAAATAAACGTGAGTGATTTAAACATTGAACTGGTACATCAGGACCACTAGATGGAAATTCTGAAGAACCAAGTCGATGCAATGATAAAGTAATTCTAGCCGAATATACTGCAATACAACCAGTATTTTAAATCTTACGTTCGAATAGACCAAACCACTGCTGAAATAAGGGGTCGATCACGAATTGCGGCCATGTTACTGTGGTTTATCGACAAACAAATAACCACATTTCATGCGGACGGACAATAATAATTATGATTTAACAACTAGGCACGGGTTAGCCTTATAGTTATAGGTTTTACTCGGGCACGAGTTGAAGTACACTAAAAAAGTCAGAAATCAAAAACTCAATAACAGAACATCAGGCGAGAAAACTAGGGCTGCATAACTAAGCGCTTAAACCTTTCCGAAGCCGAATACAGCGGTTGTGTTGTAAAACAAGATGTTGTAGGACTTAGATTTGAGGATCTTGACTGAGTTTCAATGAACCTAGAACAAGACTTGTGACGGGAATATTCGAGTTTGTTTCTAGGATACATTTTAGATTTCGGATAGGTAAAGCACATATTAAATTCATGATTATTAACGCAATCTTACTCAGAAAAACATTCTTATGAGTACCGGATGAGTGGAGAATGTCGGTAGACTCGTAAATTTATGCTAGTGTTTTCCCACGATACGAGAGATTTTCGAAGACCCACATGGACAAAAAACCTGCGACTTACATTTTTCAATGTCATAAGCTACGTCCCACAATCACACAGCAAACCGAAAAAGACTACTAATTAGCATAGTTATCCCTTTGTCGAGTGAGAAATATCTTGTATACACCACAAGTGACGCACTTGGTAAGAAACCAAGCTTTTCAAATCCGCGTCGAAATTTCGTTATACACCAACTCATCTAGGTTTGTGAATACTCCGAATTAAGCGAACTGGTCAATGTGCTCAACTACTTCAGCATTGATAAAGACCATCCAAAAATGTAGACCGATATGATAATTGCCCACATTCAGACAATCTAACAATGAAAAGATTTTTCTATTGATTCAAAAGCAGGAAATAAGTTAAGAATCCTAATAACTACTAGCACAATCGAAACTGTTCAAATAACGGGAACACATACACATACCAAGCAGATGAGAAAATATAATTCTGAAAATAATTTATTTGTCTGATTATTTGTAGATAATAATATATATTAGAAATAATAAATAGCAACCAAATGATTAAGTATTATGCATTGGCAGTCATATTTGTTAAAAGTTATTGATTAGTATATGGCTAAATTCCGAATCTTGCTAGTTAACCTGCTATTCCGTTGCGGTAATTTTTGTGTAGCTGTGGTTGAATTTGCATTACGCAGTTCAGCAACATATTTATGGCGTCTTCTTTATGAAGATTTACCGAAGCAGTTTGTGTATCTATTATTTCCTGAGTTAGCTTTTGAATCTGCGACTCAATTTCTGACCGACGGCCAAGAACCTGGTAAAAAAAATTTAAATGTAATTTAAATTCATAAATTTTACCACTAAGATATGTCTTAGCTGTCTTACTACGTTACAACATTACGGAATGCACGGAAAACTGCATACGGAGACAACTCACTTTATCCTCACAAATTTTGAAATGCCGTTCACGCTCAGCACGCTCAGCCTCGATTTCCGCCTGAGCTTCAGCTTTAGCTTCTTTCAATCGTTTGGCCTTACCTGAAATGGCAACAAAAATAATTTGATTTTTGTGCTAGAAAAATCATCTCTATGGTCACTGTACATAGCGATCCAACTTCAGTAAAAAGCGGAATCATTTAAAACACGCTATACCAACAGTATATGACTGAAAAAATTGTACATGGTTTTATCTATTTTACGTCAACGCAAACTTGGTGAAACGTGGGTTCCAAGGAATGTACTACATGCTGATAAACCAAGGTTGCGAAGAAAAAAAGTTGTACATAAAATAGCACGAGCAAACTGTCGAAAAAAAGTTGAGACTATCGAACACTAAAAATGTTAAAAAGCACGAAAAACAATCTAATAACAAATAAAGTAACTGCTGTCTAAGCCAGTATCTCACAGATTCCAAGCAAAAATATGTACAATAGTGTTAAACATCTGACTTTTCATTGTCAAATCAACATTAAGATGCAGCTGACATCCAAAGAACAACTTTGTATTTCATTAATGTTTGAAAACTTGGTGGTTTTGTGAAGGAAGCGTTTGTTTCTCATTATCGTTACAGGTTCAAACTTTCCTCTATTTCAATTTGGGTAACCGAACAGTAATATAATTATTTTGGAAACTTGAAGCTGAGTACATAAAACTGTATTTACTTGATGAAGGACGTTTCGGACCTCATTTGGAAAACTCAAAAGATTTGTTGCTGGAATTAATGAGGAATTGGTGCACTAACCAATCTCACAAGTGATTATTATTGAAAATAACCTGTTCAAGACTAGTTGTCACAAAACTATTGACATAAAGCCAGAATAAGAACATCAAAAGACAAACGAATTGTAGGAGCAGTGGCTAACGTTTATGAGAGTACTTCTATACATTTTTAGGGTATTCAGACATTATTCGGCCCTGAGGAATCAACAGCTGACTTTACTGCAACAGAGTTGCGACTCAAAAGATAGTATCAGGAGCTCCACATTGAATTATTGCTGCCAGTTACCATGGTATTTAATAGCTGTTTTTACCCCAGTATCATCGAAAGCTACAATTATAGATGGAAATTAAAACTATTAAAATAAACCATTCTATCTTTGAATCAACACGCAACACATTCACCAGGTAAAACCTGGACTGAAGTTTTAACCGTCAATGTTTTGGTTTCTAAAACTCGATTCACAGATAGGGTATGAATATTCACTGCAGAAGAATATCAATCCCGAAGGACATCCCAAAAAGTCCATTATTGCTGTTTAAACAATTTTGGTATGCGGTCTAGTTACTAATAGGTCAATCAATGCTTTTGAAAGGTCGCTGGGCACGTGAGACCAACTTGTTATAGCTATAAAGAACAAAAACTACTAGTTTCCCTTTTTATCTTACATGCCCTTGGTCTAAGTAAGCCTAAACAACGCAAAAAAACGATGACCAAGCAATCGATTGAGTCAAGTCTTTAGAAAAAATTGTTATAGCAAAATGTTTCCGAATTCGGAAACAATGGACCCCAGATGCTCTCAATATTATCGTACCTACGACTTCAACTTGTGACGTAAATTATGAACTTACGCCTTTTTGCTTCATTAACTTTTTCACTAGCAGTCTTTTCAGCTTGCAAAAGGAGCTGAATACCATCATTTCTGGAAGCCATCACTGACACTAGGCCTTGAAATTCAACTTATGAGCGTGGCAACACACTTAAACAATCAAATAAATCTAATATCTTTACGATCTAGTATAGACCGATTGATTTCCTTGCTCTCGATTCTAGTTCAGTCGGTGCAGCGCCAGATATTTAGTAATATTTAAATGTTGGTGGTCTAGCCACTCGATTGCACTAATTCTCATCATTTGTTAGTTCTTTATGAATTTCTGTCCCGCGATTTGATCGAGTGCTTTTGTCTCAGCTTCTGTTAGAAAAGTTTCCAAAGACTCGTCTTTCAATACCTTCTGAAACAACAGTGACCGTAGAATCCTTCTTATTGACCTTATAATACGTTCCCACATACCACCTCGATGACTATCTCTCGGAGGATTAAAGTGCTATTCGCAACCTCTTTCCAAAAGGGTACTTGTTATCTTATTCTGGTCTCAGCTACACACGATCTGTCTGAGACTAGCGTCGGCTCCTCTGAAGTTCGAACCGTTGTCGCTAAACACGTGTTTTGGATGACCTCGTCTAGCAATGAATCTGGATAGAGCGCATAAAAATGAGTCAGTGTCTAAGGTGTGGGCCATTTCGATGTGAATTGCTCCAATAGACAAGCAAGTAAACAAACAGCCGTACAGCTTTTCGACTACCCTCCCCCTCTTAACGTAAAATGGCCTGAAATAGTCTACACCAACAGAATTGAATGATGGCACGTAAGCATCCATACGACACTGGGGTCATGGAGCCATGATCTGGGCGCACGGTGAACTGTTAAGTCTCTTGCATAGGAAGCCCCGCTTAAGGACTCTTCGGATGACAGCTTGAGCCTTAATGATCCAGAACTCTTCGCGAAGACTACTCATGGTGTGAGTAATCCCAGAATGCGCGTTCTGTAGATGGAAGTGCATTACGATTAAGTTGGTAACAAAGTGCTTATTAGGAAGTATGAGCTGATGTGTGCTTTCGAAAGGCAAGCACGATAGCTGAAGTCGTCCTCCTACCCTAATCATGTTATCCATTACGAAGGGATTAAGATTTTTTATCGAGCTCTTGCGCATAATGTTACCTCTCATTCTTTTACCAGCAGATATTAACTGGGGTGTCATTTCCTTATTCGAAACAAATCCATCTACTTTCTTCGGTCTTTCTCGAGATTCATATTTGTTGCCGCGCTCTTCATCATGCTGTATTTGCCTTAGTGCTTCCATCTACATAGGGAATGAGACCATTCGAAACAATATGATTATATCCTGTTTCGCGCTATCGATTTCTTCCAGTCTCAACCTACCATAAACTAATGGTATTCTGTCTAACTTTATCCTCATATTACAGGCAAACCATTTACATAGAGCGAATATTCTCATCATTCTGAATCATGTCTTACAATTACTAAATCGATTCAAAAATTGGTCTAAGCGACTCTTGGCTGATGTCTCACCCAGTTCTTCTATCGACAAGTGAGGTAAAACATGTTCCGGGTGGAGTTGGCCAATTACTTTCGTCTTGCCATAAAAATTTCGGTCCATGGAACCACTCACTTAGTTTGATGCTACTGTCTAACGACAAACCACGTGAAGCATAATCCGCTGGGTTATGTTTACCTTTAACATATCTCCATTGCCTTACCGTAGACAGTTCGTGAATCGTTGCTAACCTGATGTTCACGAATCTCTCAAATCTTTTGGTTGTATTTCTTATGTAATGATATACAGTTAATGAATCCGTCCAATAAGTGACAGAGGAGATAGGGATATGCAGTTGTTGTTACACATGTTTTCCAATCTTAGCAGAGAGTACGGCCGCCGTTAATTCTATTCTAGGCATAGTGACAAGTCTTAGAGGAGCAACACTAGATTTAGCCAGTAGAAATGAGCAAAGGGCCTGGCCGAAAGCACATTCATATCGAATATACGTAACAGCACCATACGCAAGCTCAGAAGCATCGGCAAAACAATGAATTTGAGCGGATAGTGGTTCAAACCTTGGTTTCAGACATCTTGGTATTCTTCAGTGACCCAACTCCTTTATATCTCTACACCAAATATTCCACCATCTATGGGTAGCTCTGCGTCCCAGTCTAGTTTCTGCCGACAAATGTCTTGTAGGATTACTTTAGCTGGTAGTATTACTGGGGCTAAGAACACAATAGGATCAAATATAGATGCCACGTACGAAAAATATTTCTTCTGGTTAGGTTTCCATGAAACTCGTGAACTTCGAAACATGAATCATCTGTTCTGATGTTCCACTCTAACCCCAGAGTTCGCTTAATCATCTCGTTTGATTCGCAGACGGTAATGTTTCCTTCGGTACGATCTTCCTCTGGAATGGACTCCAGCACTTCAAGGCTGTT